AAATTCTTTTTGCGAAAAATTTATTTAAAAACTTGTATAAATAATTTATATCAAATTTTCTTCAAACTCTTGGTTTTCAGTATTACAAATAAATTTATTTAATTTCATAACATTATGCCGAAGAAAAATATATGTTTAACTTCTATATATAATTATTACATTATTGGATTTTAAACTATATTTAGGTTGCACAAATTAATTTTTATCATAATATAATTATGCATTAATATCTTTATATAAACTCTGTGAAACCCATTTATTTCTTAGCATAAGAAATTCATTTATGATATTATCACGACTGTAATATCAAAGAGTCCAATAAATATATTTTTATAACAATCATTACATAATATAAAACATATCTTTTAACTATTTAGTAATATTTAATTGTTCTAAAAGATTTTCCCTTTCTCGAAGACATGCCCATGCTTTCTCATGATCCTTTCTTGTCAATGGTACTTTTCTCTGTTTCGCCAAGGTCAATTTCTTATAATGTTCTATCACGTCATTATCCGCAACGTTAATTTTCCGTTTCAATGTTTGTCTCTTACTCTCTTCCTGGGCCAGATTTAATAATCTCTTCAGCTGCGTAACATTATGATTAGATAATACAAATAATTCTTGTTGACATCTTTTAATTTCTGCAAGAATCTCATCATCCTCTTGATTTTTTTTTTGTACATCGGGTTCCAAGATACCTTGCTCGACCAATTCTTTATGCATTCGTAACTCCAAATTCATAGAATTCTGGATAGTTAGATCTCTCAAGACAGGAGGATCTCCATCTCGGAATAGTTTGTTTTCCATGTTATTATTTGCGACATATACATTCTCTTCCAAAAGTGCAGAAACCAGTCTCTGAGTAAGAGGTCCTGCAATACTATTAGTCTTTTTATCACTTTTGGATATCAAGTGTGGCATATCTGTGCGATTCTTCTTTTTCTCTCGGTTTGAGTTGGCTGCATCTTCTTCTTGCAATAAATCGTTATGTGCCCACATTAAGCTATAATGACGGCCTAAAGAAGGAATCTTTTTGAATTCATTTATATCCCCATGCGTAATAATCAATTCTTCTAATAATTTAATATCATCAGGCATAATATCATTGCAATAGGAATCTACTGAAGCCCAAAACTTATTGGGTGTATCATTTTTCGGTAAGAGCAGTTTTGGTACATCAGATTTAGATCCTTCAATTCTTGATATTTCGTGTAATGTCGGCAATACCTGATTGGTTGAACTTCCTACTGTCTTTTGCTTGAACAGTTTTGTATGTAAAGGTGATTGACTTTTGGTGTTAATCTCTTTCGGTTTAAATTTTTCCTCACGTATCTTCTTATCAAGTACAGAAAGGCTTTTACTACTCTTTGATCTTCTGTCTTTACGTTCTTCTGCTGAAAATAAGCTGGTAATCTCATCTTGAAGTGTACGATGCCGTACAACAACTGCTGACAAGAGTGTCTCAAGCTCTAGTTGTAGTGTATCAAGATCATCCATTGCAACACCTTCTTCTGCTGCACGCTTTAAGATATTAGTGTATCTTGGCAGATGTCGATTGTTATCAATTGTCTTTGGAAAAAATTGAGAAGTTGTTGGTTCCTGTACTTCTGAGTTTGCATCAGAATTTATTATGGAAGATTGTGTAGTCTTTCCAGATTCACGTATCTTAATGACAGCTTTCTTAGAACTCTGCTTTCCTTTTCCAGACATATTTGTTAATCATTCAATAGTAGATAATAATTAAATTGTTGCTTCCTACAGGAAGGCTATTATTTTTGTAATTAATTTGCAATAGCCTCTGAATAACCAATACAATAGTCAATGAATAACTTTGTTACATCTGCAATTATAATTATTGAATATAATTATTCAACATCTGTAAAATAAATATTACTATTAATACTTATTATATTGCTATTATTACTATTATATTTACTATTATTATTATAGTTATATATTATTGGGTACTTTTTATTTAAGTAACACAAGTTGATATAAATGTCATTCTATTGTTATAATCAAAATGTTACGAAAGATAGAAGAATGTTTATGTATGTCGATTTATGTTAAAATTCTATTGACTAAATGCAGAAAACGTCTACTGTAAATTTAATATAACAACAATAATAATAATAATAATAATAAGTAAGGAGCATGAAAGTCAACACTAGATGTTGGCTTACATTCCCTTCATTGATTACTATTATTATTCAGAAAGCAGTAGTCATTTTACAGATTATAAATATCTCATTTACTTCATCTTGCTTTAAACATACGATATCAATATCATACATACTGTTAAACGCGAATAGTAATACAAAATTGTGCAAATCGTTATATAGGTTATAGACATTATCATATCACGATGTTGGCTACTTCACTTTGTTTTACTTCAGCAGATAGTTCAGATTTTATGCGTGGTCTACAATGGCAGTAGCAGTAGTGGATGAGACTGCAGAAGTAAGAAATCGACCAATCACAGTCGAATGTGAGAAGAATAATCAACCGTGATTGGTCAATTTCTTACTCTTAAGCCCATGGCACATAGAAAAACGTAAGGCCGTAAACGTAATCAGTAAGCGAATTGACCAATCACAGTTGAGAACGTAAGCAGCCGCCGCTTACGTTCTCAATTGTGATTGGTCAATTCGCTTACTGATTACGTTTTTCTATGTGCCATGGGAAAGAGAGAAACCTGAGAGCGGCCACGGCGGCCTTTTTCCTGTAATGCTTTACACTAGTGGCACCAACGTCCATTTTCCAGCTGCGGGAACTACGTATGTACCACGAGAGCGAGCGAGACCTTACCATGAGTTCTTACTGGTTCTTACCTTATACCGCGTACCGCCTATTTTGATATTACACGGAGCGCGGTTTGCGACACGGGCTAGTGACAAACTCACATTACTATACGTTGTTATGCACTTTTTAATGGAATTAATTGATTTAAACGCAATTATTATATATATATATATATATAAGTAAATCTGGGTTTTATAATTTAGTATAAGTTTTTTTAAGATTACATAATATACAGAGCGTTATTCTTTATCAATATTTTCTAAAAGAAAATGCTTCTAACGGAAAAAAATATGATTTTTAATGCAAAAAATATATATCAATAATCACTTGAGCCTTTTTATTTTACTTTTATTTGTAATGCAAAATCAATTTTTTGTATCATTATGATGGTTGAAGATTTCATTGTATGTTAGTGACGAATACAACTTATGTAATGAGACGGCGGAACATTCACGCATATTACCAAGCGCACGGTTTACTTATATGTGCGATATCCAAAGGATGGTGCCAATTAGATGAACTTTATTTGGGAACAATTGCTTCAATAACCATTTAAAAAAAACACTCAGGATTTTTTACTCAATTTTTTATTAGAAATAGTGATATAATGAACGTTATGAAACTTGTATTTGAAATGAAATAGATATTTGAAATTGACATATATTTGAATTTGCAGAAAGTAAAAAAAATTTAATATAGCAAATAACAGATCTATGATTTTCTATATTCAATATTTATATAGAATTTTCTTGAAAATTTTGTAAGGATTTCAAATTTATTAAGAAATCTAATTCAATATCTGGCTCAATGTTCTATATAGAGTACTCAAGTATATTATTACAAAATATAAAGATTAAGTGGATATCCACCTCTCCTTTTCTATGCATGCGCAAGTGTGTGCGCGCACATAAAAATTTACATAATTTTAATTTTTCAGTATTAAATGAATTTTACTAATATCACGTTAATATACATCTGTTAGTAAATTTATTTCATTCTCAATAACTACAATTCCTCAAAGAAAGCGACTCTAGCTTTAGTCGATCCAGATTTCACTTTTTTCAGCGTGCTGTATTTATTCTCGCCAAGTCGAACTTGTTCCTCGTGCAGCTGATCCAATTCGCATTGCTTGTCACCAACTTTTAAACCTTCAATTTCAGAACGTAATTCTCGCAGTTGTTCCTGTAAATGCTTACTTTTCTCTAAATAATCGCTTCTTTCCCTTTCAATCTCTAATGAAAGTTGATCAACATCTCCATCGCTAATAAGATCATAAGATGTTAAATCAGGTGGTAAAGGTTCTGCGTGTAAAGGTTCTAATTGTAGAGTCTGAAGATCTGCTTGTAGCTCTGATGGAAGTACTTGCGTAGAAGGAAATAAATTTGGTACAGGCTGCCAACAAATAAAATAAATGATTGATAAGTTTTCTAAACAAGTAAATAAATAAATTTATTTATTGTATATGTATATATAAGGCGTTTCGCATGACATGACGCACCATCTGCTTACAGCAGATTCCTGAAATTTTGAGACAAAATTCATAATATGTAAGTATCACTAAGAATCTTTTTAACGTAATGAATATCAATAATCAGTAATTTTAAAAATTAAAAAAGTGAAATATAATGCTCACTTGCATAAAATAATATTGATAAATATAGAGCAATAGCTAAGAGCAATAGCTGAGTTACATTTGCCAACCTTTAATAATCTTAATATGAATTAAAATAAATACAACATATGTTTCAATAATCGATACATAAGTTCAGTCATTTTCAATGTTGTTTAAATAACCTGAACGTCACATTCTAAATGCAAATGTTTTGTAAAATTACATTACTTGCATTGCAGATTACAGTATTTCGCGGCTGTGACAGATTTTGTAACTTCAATAGTCGTCAACTTTAACGCTTCTCGATTCACGGGGCAGAGCGTACATTTTCTTGCTAATTCTTTATTTTAACGCGAAAACGCATCGATTCAGTATATTTTTATTAAAATTTGAGGTGAACGGGCTTTTCTTAATATTTATCTGCAAACTTTATACAGTATGAAACGAATTCTTTAGTACAAAGTCATTATAGAAAATTATTTATTTCTATTTTATTTTAGAAATATCGCTGAAGGATATTTAGCATGGAATTTACTTATTTTCGAAGAGTTAGAATTATGGAAAGAAGAATTAAAAAGTATTTATTTTTTATGTTTCACTTTTATCTTTGTTGTTCACCAAACGTTAAACAATAATCAATAATACATTATGCACATCATATGAGAAATGAAATGCACATTAAGTCTTTTTCAACACACGTCATTCTCATTTCGATAGTGTCGCAATTGTGAGTACCACACTTCCACCGTAAAAACGAGATTGTCAGCGACTAAAGCGTTACGAATTTTTTTGCCGCTACGGAGTCTAAAGTTAATTGCAGAGATTTTACTCTTTTCTATTATATTGCTTCGCGGGCCTGATATAAATATTTCTTATTGCAGTATTTATAACTAAATATTAATGATGTACTTACAGTGATGGTAGAAGTATAAGCATTTCTACTCAAGAACTCTAACAATTTCTCTTTAGCTTCTTTCTCAGCAATTCTTGCACGTAATAGTTCGTCCTTTAATTTTTCTGCTTCAGCAGCTCTACGTTCCGATTCTTGAACTAGTCGTTCAGTTAATAATTCAGCCTCTCTAGTTTTCCGTTCTAAATGGACTTTTTCTTCTTCAGTCTTCATATTATTCAATCGTATACGTGTAATTTCTTGTTCAGCTTCCGACGCTTTCTGACTTAAAAGCATTGCTTCTTCTTCTGCTACACGGCTTTTTTCAGCTAAAAGATCTGCCGTCTCTTCAGACCTTCTCTATAAAACATAAGATTAAATTGTTAAATGCATAATTACAGATTTTCTATGTATTATACATTCACACGCAAAAAAAACGGTTCATTTAAATTTTAGCATTAATTTTTAATACTTTCAAATAGCAACAATTCAGTGAAAAATCATCATAACGAGATGTTTAAACAAGCTTTTTAAAGCTTGAAATCTCTACTTTTCAGACTGGTACTTCAAAAAACGGTCTTATCGATATTTCATGAAGTTACATAAATATAAATGAAGATGCATCAGATCTTAAAGTTTTATACGAAATTTGTGAAGTTGCATGGCACAAATTAAAAATTAATGCTAAAATTTAAGTTGCCCATCTTTTTTGCATGTAAATGTATATTAATTTATGTTTTTATATGTAAACTTTTTCCTATATTTTGTTTATATAGAAAAACTTTTATTTTTATATCTTTCTGTGTTATTAGTTTCTTACAAGAGCTTCATTCGCCAATCGTATTTCCTCCTGGTATTGTAGAAGTCGCTGTTCCATTGCAGCTTTTTCTCTTTCCGCTGCTTCTCTTAATTGTTTTTCTCGTGCTAATTTATTTCTTTCAATTTGCCTCCTAAATGTAATGTTATGGATCTTTTTAAAAGATATATATATATATATATATATAATTAAATAACGATAAGACAATTATAATTTAAGATTAATTATTAGATCACATTAGCACATTTTATTTCTTTAAATAGAATGTATTTGATAATATACATATAGCCACCTACGGTCTGTTTAAAAAGTATCTGGATTTCGATTATAATATACTTACAAACATACAACCGACAAGCTAATTCCATTCAAAGTATATTCCTTTGCAATTAATACACTTATTCACACAGCGGTTATTTTCTTCGTTTAAAAGTTTATGAAAAAAATATGATAATATAATTATTTTCGATTAGTTATATATTTTATCAGCGATCTTGATCTCAGAAGATACTGTACAGGACAGATTTCTGAGTTGTTTCAAATTAAATGAAAATGGATTGCGTTTGAGATATTGGAATATCATAATTTTTATTTAAATAGCCAAAAATATGTATCCAAGGATCAGGCAGTAGAGAGTCAGACGTGGTTCTTTGTACGTAATTAATAATTTATTCTTTAAAAATATTGAAAAATAATGTATTTTATTTAAATAGATTATTCAGTGATAACTTTTGTCCAGAGCTAATCCTCTACGCGGAAATAAAAAATTAATAGTTCAGATTTAGGAACTGTATCAGCTTATAAATTAATGCAGTTTCGATTTTTGAGCTTCATCTCTTGTTCGCAAAACAATCCCAAAACTAATAAAGTAAAGTAGAGCGGAGCTTCTTCGTCCATTTCTAACATTATACATATTTATGTTTCTGTGACCAACACAGATTGATTATATATTTAAAGATAGTGCTTATGTTCTTAAAGAGCAATCATGATTGTATAATGTAATTATAAGCACGTCACTGCAAAAGATACTATTGTAAATTTTCTTACACTGTACTTAATGTTTCAGTTACTTCTAGATTTTCCCCATTATTTCGAATACTTTTAAAATAATTTTTTTCGACAACATTTTGTAATAATTTTCTTTATTTCTAAAAATAACACAGAATAAATTACTGAAAAGTGTAATAAAGAATTTTATTTTTGCAAGACCTTGGAGATAGCTTTTATTGTTTCGTAAAATCGCTGCTAATTATCCCACTGCCGTGTTCCTTCCTATCAACGCTCTACCGCAACGGCTTCGGGCATGACAAGTGGTAATGGAGAACAACGTGCTACAATCGACTCGAATTAGTACATCCGTCGGCGGAAAATCCGGACTCTATTTTTTGAGTATAAATTAGTTTTAGAATGATTTGAAGGCTAAGGAATAAAGTACAAAAATTCAAACTGCATTAATTTAGTATATATATATATATATATATATAATTAAATAACGATAAGACAATTATAATTTAAGATTAATTATTAGATCACATTAGCACATTTTATTTCTTTAAATAGAATGTATTTGATAATATACATATAGCCACCTACGGTCTGTTTAAAAAGTATCTGGATTTCGATTATAATATACTTACAAACATACAACCGACAAGCTAATTCCATTCAAAGTATATTCCTTTGCAATTAATACACTTATTCACACAGCGGTTATTTTCTTCGTTTAAAAGTTTATGAAAAAAATATGATAATATAATTATTTTCGATTAGTTATATATTTTATCAGCGATCTTGATCTCAGAAGATACTGTACAGGACAGATTTCTGAGTTGTTTCAAATTAAATGAAAATGGATTGCGTTTGAGATATTGGAATATCATAATTTTTATTTAAATAGCCAAAAATATGTATCCAAGGATCAGGCAGTAGAGAGTCAGACGTGGTTCTTTGTACGTAATTAATAATTTATTCTTTAAAAATATTGAAAAATAATGTATTTTATTTAAATAGATTATTCAGTGATAACTTTTGTCCAGAGCTAATCCTCTACGCGGAAATAAAAAATTAATAGTTCAGATTTAGGAACTGTATCAGCTTATAAATTAATGCAGTTTCGATTTTTGAGCTTCATCTCTTGTTCGCAAAACAATCCCAAAACTAATAAAGTAAAGTAGAGCGGAGCTTCTTCGTCCATTTCTAACATTATACATATTTATGTTTCTGTGACCAACACAGATTGATTATATATTTAAAGATAGTGCTTATGTTCTTAAAGAGCAATCATGATTGTATAATGTAATTATAAGCACGTCACTGCAAAAGATACTATTGTAAATTTTCTTACACTGTACTTAATGTTTCAGTTACTTCTAGATTTTCCCCATTATTTCGAATACTTTTAAAATAATTTTTTTCGACAACATTTTGTAATAATTTTCTTTATTTCTAAAAATAACACAGAATAAATTACTGAAAAGTGTAATAAAGAATTTTATTTTTGCAAGACCTTGGAGATAGCTTTTATTGTTTCGTAAAATCGCTGCTAATTATCCCACTGCCGTGTTCCTTCCTATCAACGCTCTACCGCAACGGCTTCGGGCATGACAAGTGGTAATGGAGAACAACGTGCTACAATCGACTCGAATTAGTACATCCGTCGGCGGAAAATCCGGACTCTATTTTTTGAGTATAAATTAGTTTTAGAATGATTTGAAGGCTAAGGAATAAAGTACAAAAATTCAAACTGCATTAATTTAGGAGTTTTTCATAAACAGATGTTCTTACAAACCTACAAGCGATTTTTTTATTGTTAATTTTAAGGTGTGAGAAGAGACTGAGTAGACATTCACATAAGCCCCCATCTTTAAATCGAAATTCCTGCTAATTGCGACAAGTTCGAAAATTACTTTGAGGTGTGTTTCAATAATTAATAATTTAATACACATTTAAAAACAATACAATATTTAGAATGCGATATTTCGAATTAGAACGATTAGCTCGCAAAGCATATTGCTATTCATATGTATCTACATTTTCAAATGGTGCTACGAGATCACAGGCAATTCTTTTATTTATTTATTACGTAAGTAAGCAATATTTATTTTGTTAATTTCTCTATTTTAAGCAATATGATATAGAAGGTCAAGGGCCGGTTCTCATAGTTAATTGTTATTATTTAAGATGTTGTAAACTAATAACAGAGTTATATTTGCATCTTCAAATGTTACTTTTGATAGCCGAGGGCAAGGGACGTGCGAGTTTGCGCCGGTCTGAACGCAAGACAAGAGCGTAGACAAGAGCGCTCATACGTTAACTTTATCTTGCTCTCCTGCAAAAACTATTTGTCGGACGTAATTTTGTTAAAGAAAAAAGTTATTTGTTTTAGCATAAAGTCTTGTACTCCATATGCTAAGATTTAGAGACATCCTGTGTATATACGTATTAATTTATACAGGGTGATTCAGTTCAACTGTAGGAGCCGGCACATGAAAAAGTATGTTGAAAAAGCACTTCATGAAAAAGTAAGTTGAAAATGTTGTGGCATTAATAGTTTTCAAACAGTGAGCATTTGAAAACAACCAACCACAGGGCATGAAATTCGCGCCATCAGGAGCGGCGCAACTAAGCGGTCGATCGCGCGAACGCTTTCACGGACGTATCAGTAAACAGTACAGTACCGAACGAGTATTATAAAGATTATGTCAATATAAGATTTTATCTCTTGATATTATCTATTGATTGTATCTATTGATAAGATTTGGGTAATGCTAATGCCGGCAGTACCATAATTTTCAAGTCTTACAACTCGAAAAATACTTAATAAAAAAATATTTTATTATACTGTTTTAAAAAGCTTTTGAAATAAGCTATATAATAACAAGCAAAAAAGGGGGGTCCTATTTAAAAAATCAGTTAAGTAGATTTTTATAGAGTCCTATAGCTTTGCTCTTATATAGATATATTTTTTCACTAGAATCGATCGTTTTCGAAATATTTTAGCGTTGACTTTTAGCGAAGACTCTGTATGATTTAATATTGATTTTGTATTTTTTATAATAATTGTTTTATTGTGTAATAACGATTTTATTACCACACACAAATATAGTGAGCGCTTACTAAAAACTAAAAATAAACAAAAAAATATAAACAAATGGGATTCTGTTTGCCACGTTCTTGTCGTGATCTTTGGTAGTAGAAAGCAAACGTGGTCGAAAAAGCGAGAACGAGGGAGGACGCTTTCTTCTTGGTCCTCCCTCGAAGCGTCATAATTCCTCAGTCCAGCCTTGATCACGACTGATTGTAAGTTCTATTTTCTGTATCGTTCAGCTACAATTAAGATGATGTAGTATCTTTAAAACTTCTATCGAGAGATAGAACGGTGAACATGAACCCTTATTTAACTGTGATCTTACTTGCGAATAAAACTTAGCCATGATATGGGAGCTAATAATTTCGCTACTTATGATATTGATATTATTAATCAAACATTTCTTAAAGCTCGAATGCAGGGTTTAAAAGCTCGAATCAGGCATTAATAAAATACGATATCATGTTCACATTGTAGCAGAATGCAATGATGTGAGTTTTTTCCTTCATCATTATCTCTTTAGGGTAAATTTGGATAGCAAAAAAAAATTGTTCAGAGTATCATCTATGTATTGTCAGAATTTCATAATTTTTAAATTCCCGAATTGGGAGACTTTCCTTATCAGTTATGTAAATAATGAAGTCATTAGACATCATTCTAAATATAAACATAAAATTTGTGATAAAAACAAATTGTTTCATGAAAGAAGATATATTTACTTACCTGGATTTTTCTTCCTTGGCTTGTGCTTTCATTTGTTGAACTTCCATGGAATCTGGTTTGCGTCTCCTCATAAATAGATCGTGATTGCCAATACACAGATCTAGGATCTTAACAAATAATATGTGAGCAGCTGTGTCACTATTATGTTCGTTCAACTTTAAAGCTATTAAACCCCTCACCCAGCTGCCAACATCTGATTGTTTTTTTACCAGTTTGTTCATGCGAGTTTTCTGCGAGAAGAACATGAAGTTTGGTGATGTTTTCTCTACAGGCTTGATTATGAACTTCTTATCGTCGAAACTAATATGACGAATTTCCGACCACGTGAACGTTGTCTTCGGTGCTAATTTATTTTCCTTTTCATAAATATTCAATCCCAATGCTGTTACTCCAAGCCAAAGATCTGTCTCCTTTTTATTCTGTAATTTTAAATAAGAAAATTTATATAACATAAGATTTTTTAAGATATCAAAATATTAAAATATTAAAAGATACAAAATATTGATAAATGTTTACTTTAGGGGAGATATTTCAAGTTCTTAAACTTGATATGTATTGTTAAGAATATTATTCTGAGTGGTCTCCAAAAAGTTTTAACAGTTGCTCATTATATAAAAAATAAAGTTAATTATTCTCTCTAATATTTTTAACAATAATAAAATGTGTATTTTTGCATAGAAAGTTATAAACCTATGTGAAACCTTTATATTTGCTTTATATATAAAATGCGTAATGTGCAATTTGTTAACAGTAGATTCCACATCTGGTAATTGTACTATAAAAAAAGTAGATACACAACATAAGTTTGGGTTGATTTTCGCTTCATACGAAAAGTTATAAATCCTTATGAAACTTTTTCTCGCGTGGAAAATTGTAAACTCAGAGCTATTTTTTTTTTGTTTTATCCAGTTACTCATTGTCTCTATGCACATACAATATGTATATTCAGCGAAACAAGGTACAATATGAGTTTGCAACATTCCACGCAAAGTAAGGTTTAATTCGAACCAACTTTTTAATAATGAAGCCTCCCTTCTCCCTGTAATAGGAAGAAATGAAGTTCTACTGCGTTTACTCATACATTTTACAACACAAAATATAAAAGATTCCACATGGATTTAACCAATAAGTATAAATAAATGTGTTAACAATGCGAGATTAAATAGAATTGAATTCTCTCTCTCTCTTATTTGTAACTTTTTAATAAACAACGAACGGGTAAAACGTTTTGGAAGTTACTCGGAAACAGTATCTTTGAGAACATATATGTATCAAAGCCTAACATTATCAACTTCCTTAAAAAGTAAAGAAAAATATATTATATACCTACACTAATAGGAAAATAGTTTACACCATACATATCGAGATCCTGAGCAATCTTAAGGTATTCCATTTCTGCTTCGTCTCGAGACATACCACGATGATCGGCGTACCAAATTTTTATCCTATCCTCCCACATTTCTGGAGTCATTTGGTATTGATCTATAACTCTCTGTGGAAGCAAATCCTCACTGGCAAGCATTCCAGGGCGATATGAAATTTCATCATAATCGCCATACTGATAATCAAAACAGAAAAATTACTATTTTTTCTATTATACACATATTACAATTATTAATTTTTGTAAAAGAAAACTAACTTTTGTATACATATTTAAATTAATATATAGATGTTATAATATATTATAACATTAATGTTATGAAAATGACCAATCGCAGCTATTCCTCTAAAGAATGGAATGATTGGCCAGTTTCATAACATCAATTTTATAAATTCGTGAACGTAGTCATAGTTGCTATTCAAAAATGAATATGTATATATAGGGTGCTCCAAATTTTTTGACGCATCGCTTGTAAACTAAACTTAACTGATTATGAGTCTCAAAATTCTCTATTATTTTACAATTTTCGCAATAGTTAACGAGATATTAGAAACATATCTCTCCGCAAATGAGGAGAAAAGTCAATTGTGTTTGGAAAACAGTTCTTTATATATTTTTGTATATCAATGAACATGTCAATGTGTTAATAAACTTATAAAAGTAACTTCATAAATAATTTTATAAAATCACTTAATTTTTCTATTTTTTTTCTAGTATCTTTTTATGAAAAAATGGACACACTTGAATCATATCAAGTACATATGTATGATTTAAGTATACATTTCCCACTTTTTATTAAAAAATGTTTCAAAAAATGAAAAATATAACTTACTTTTTCTTAAAATTTTCCCTACTTTTATGTAAATATTTGTAACAGCATTATATTTTTCTATATTGAGAAATGTTTCCTTTTTTAAATCTTAAAGATTAGTTGGGCCGAACTATGGAAATATGGTATCCGGTTATTTTATTTGCTTAATGCAAATTGCACAGTTACTTTTTTTTAAGAGCAAGTATGGGTTCTTTATATCAATTAATTCATCTCACTATTCTGTTCATAAAAATATTAACATACAATTATATAAAAAAATTAATAGTTTACGAGATATTTGACATTTCATGTAGTATACCACAATAAAGTATAAAAATATCTAGTAAATTATTAATTTTTTTAATATCTCTATCTTAATATTTATTATTACATGAAAAATAATTAAAGGAATCATGGTATATAAAGAAAATCATATGATTCCATATACAAAAGTAATAGTGACCTTTATATTTGTTTGATCTAAATCTAAAAAATAAAAAACGTTTTTTGAAGTACATTTCTCTTCTATTCTATTTTTATCTGAAACATTTTTGTCAAAAATAAATAAAATTTTCAAGGTTTTTAATTCCACATATATACATATATGTATGTTTATAATATTTGTATGTGTGTGTGTGTGTGTGTGTGTGTGTGTGTGCGTGTGTGTGTGTTTGTATTTTTACATATGCACGTGTGTACACTTGATGTACAGAAGTAAATCAAATCCAAGATCTATTTATTTTAAAAGTAGAATTCTATTTAATAGGAACTTCACCATATTTTCACATATTTGATACAGTTTTATCTATGTAACTAATATGTTTATCTGAAATGTATATAATTTACGTTTCTAATTTAAATTTAAATTTTTATATTTCACATTAATATCCTATTAATAAGTAACACAAAATACAAATGTTTTACTTTATATAAGAAAATCAGAATACATAAATAAGATAAATCTATAATTTGTATATGTTGCATGTTTAAACTATATGTACATATTATAATTTTAAAATATGTTATATATTATATACATATATATATATATATTTAAATGCAAATTATTAGCTATTTTAACTTAAATTTATATTAATATATTAATTTAACAAATGTATAGATTAATGTAGTATATAGTCGGTTTTTATATTTAAAACAGTATTAAATATGAGAATCAACTATGAATATCATTTATAGTTAAGTTTATAAAAAAAATACCTTTGCTTGGACAGCATAAGAAGCAAGTAATACAGAAGCCTCAGGTGGACAATAAATATCCATGGACAATATAGCTTGTTTCACTTGTAAAAAAAACAGATGTTGAGTGACCTCTTGCACAAGTTCTTCAGCTACATCCTCAGGATAAAATTTTGCTAAGAACATGAATGATGTTGTCTGCTGCTGCGAAATACCTTGATCTTGAACTGTAATCAGTTCAATGTCATTGCAATAAATATACAATTAATTACACAAGTATTCAGATTATATCTATTCCAATCAATGTCTGAATAAACGGCGACAAATTACATTTACCTTTCTTGTCTAATTTTAACCAAGAAATAAAGCCCTTTGCATCTTCATATTGAAGTCCAAAATACCATGTTTCTCTCAATCCTATCGTTCGGCACACCAGATCAAACAATTCTCTGCCTGTCGATCTCCACTATGCCACAGGAAATTTGTCAGCTTGCGAGATATAACATCAATGCAAGATACGTAATAGCAATCCAACGAAAGATTGTGACATTAACTACTAACCTCTAAATTAAATTCAAGTTCTGCATCTAAGGTGCAAACTTTGACAGGAAAGGATCTCCCGGACTTTTTCTTCCGAAATGGTGACATCTTATTTTTCGCTGTGTTCATTCGTATTATAAAATCATTACATGCTGTTAATCGCTGTCATGAAAGCACTCGATCATATGATAAATTATACTTGGCGCCGCTATTGAAAAATATTTTCATGGTGCAGCATCAATATTTTTTTGACTCGCGCTTATTGAAAGATGTAACCAAACTATAAATGAAATAACCTTATCTAAGATCTCCAATACAATACATTCTCGACATATCTAATAACGACATATAAGTATTAATCGACGAGCACGGCGGCTTGTTTCAAACGTTTGACATCTTCTTGAGTATGGTTCGTACAATCACATTCTGCCCAATTCTATCGCGTACTTGATTTATTTTCACGAGCGAGTCGATACACGCCAACGTGTGTGCCTATTGCTTTCGTTTATGCGAGCTATATTGCGGAACTGTTTAGAATTTTTGTCATTTTCTACAAATGGTCCCAGATGTCTTAAGACTTAGTTTATTGAGCATTTGTTGCACTTTATTCAACAATATTCGTTATAATATTATTCTTAAACTTGGTATGCATATATAAACAAATCTATATATACATACACATATACCTATTTAAAGATGCAAAGAAGTATATACTTAGTATGCATTCCAAAATTAATTAAATATTAAAGATATACTAAGCAAAATTTGATAATATTTCTTATGTGAAATCTTTAAACACGTTATAAAAATAAGTTGTATACAAAATATTATATATTAAATAATATATAAGATAATATTCTTTAGCTTATTTATTTAAAAAATGACAGGATATGAAGAATCTGACCTCATGACCTGTCAATCAGAATACACTTTTATTTCTATAAAATTCTATAGTATCATATATGTGAGCTGCGGTCGAGTTGCCACTACGAATGCTTTGAAGCGTTTGATTGACCAATCAAAAGAAAGAATTTTACAAATTGACCAATCAAGAAACGTTTCAAAGCATTTGTAGTGGCAACTCGACCGTACCTTTAGATATCAGGGGTGCTTTCCAAAACTCGACTCTGTCAACTCTGAGGTCGGTATTCATAGGCAGTTCTTATATTCAAGACCATCTTAAGTTCAGTCTTAAGATGTCACGAACCAATCAAATGGCTGCATTCGCGTCTTAAGACATTACTTAAGACAGTCTTCAAATAAGAACTGACTATGAATACCGGCCTTTTCATCTTTGTTGTTCGCCGAATGTTGAACAAAGATACTCGGAGTTGACAGAGTCGAGTTTCGGAACGCAACCCAGAGAAGCGCAACCGGCTTAAGGGTTGGATTATACTGGCCGTAATCTGTTAACTTGTGCCGTAATCTGTAAAAATTGACCAATTATAATCGATTATTCCCCTCTCATTCGACTGTGATTGGTCAATTTTTACAGATTACGGCATAAGTTAACAGATTGCGGCCAGTATAAGCCCGGATCCTCATATGGGCAACAGCGCTTTGACATCAAACGCTGATTGGTGAAAAACCGGTGGCGAGGGTAAAATTTACCCCCATAACCCGCTTTTCACCAATCAGCGTCCGGTGTCAAAGCGCTGTTGTCCGTATGAGGATCCGGGCTAAATCAACCCTACGCTATTCCGCTGCATGGGTTTGCACCCTGATATCTAAACTCTAGAGGCCTGTTCTTTTTACCGAACTGGTACACAGAGTGCAATAAGTTGAAGTGAAACAGATATACGTTTGTTTCATTTCAACTTATTGCACTGTATGTACCAGTTCAGACAGTGCAGGCAAAAAGAACAGGCCTTATGCTGGATTCACACTGCATCCGATTTTCGTCGTACGACGACTCTGCAACCAATCAGAAAACAAAATCTTGCTTCGTATCGATGGTACGATTTTTCTGATTGGTTGCAGAGTCGTCGTACGACGAAAATCGGATGCAGTGTGAATCCAGCATTAGGCTGCACCAGTGTATGGTGATTGCACCAGTTCATCTGTTTTCCTTTTCCCTTCTCCTGGAGAGAAAAGGAAGAAAGATGAACTAGTGCAAAAGTTCAGCAATAAAGAGCAGACTGTCTGAGTGTTGCATTTGATTGCATTACAGTCGCGAAATATGGCGATGCAAGCATACGTTTATTACAGATTTTCTAACCTTAATAGTCGTCAAATTTAACGCTTAATATCTCGGTTCGGAGAGCAGAGCGACACTTTTTATTGCCAGATTCGTTTGTTTCGTGCAAAAACGCATCGAATGAGAGTATTTTTATCAACATTTGAACTGAGCAGGATATTCTATACACAACTGTCGATAGCTAGATCGTTGCCGAGCCGCGATTGTGTTGCCGTTTATGTCATAGGCGTAGGTAACAATAATGAACAAATTAAACGTATCATCGAACGTTGATTTGGACGATCCAAGATTTCGTATCAGACCGTATCAACAAATCGTGGCTTCTTGCACTGGTGCATTTATTACATCGGTGTTTGGTAAATTTGTAATAATAACTGGATAATTATATAATTTATGATTTTTGTTTCTTCTAATATATTTATATATTAATTTTATAAAATGTTATATTGAGTACAATATATATATATATATATGCTGCAAATTTCGGGAGACTAGAATATTATCAAATTTCCGAAATATGCCATTTTTTAATTATTTTAGCTTATGAAAATTACAAGATCTTGTTATATTCTGTTGTCTATTTATGTTCTATATTTATTTTAAATATTTTATATTATTTTGAAGTTAAATATATTTTTACGCTTTTTGTTTTAATTAAAAAATTATATTTGTTTTAATGTTTTTGATTATTCGTGTACCTTTTGTAAGTAAAAGTTTGAACGTTTATGTATTTTTCCTAATATTTTTATTAGTGACTCCATTGGATGTGGTAAAAATACGTCTTCAAACACAACAGAAAGCGATGCTTTCAAATAAATGTTTTTTATATTGCAATGGTTTAATGGATCATTTATGTCCTTGTACCAATGGTAAAATGCCTGACTGGATGAAAAGAAATAGAAAATTTAATGGAACATTTGTATGTAATTACTGTGTAATTATGACATTTATTATTTTTATTTTCATATGAATTATGATATTTGAAATGCAATACATAAATATTTACTTACATAAAACAAATTAATTTTGATATTTTTCACAAATATATTTTTTTATATAGATTGATCAAATATATAAAAAAAACTTTATACGTATTAATAAATAAAAATCTATAAATCTTAATTATGTATTGTGAGGTTCAAGTTTGTTAAAAATAAAAAATATATGTTGACTGAATTAGATGCATTTATTTGAAAGGTTTTTATATATTGAATCAATATACATTATTATGTACAAGTATACATACAAAACAAAATTTTGTGTCATTAAAAAAGTATAAGATTCATATAATTATTCGTTCTTCTAATATCAAAATATAATATATATTATTTAATAAAGTATAATAGAATACCAAGTCATGATATAATATACAAAGAGAAATCGTAATATAGTATTAATAATGCCCATACATTCATTATTTGTATTGATTTTATTTTCAGGATGCTTTATTAAAAATAAGTGAAACAGAAGGTATAGCATCATTATGGAGTGGCTTGAGTCCTACTCTTGTTCTAGCTATACCTGCAACTGTAATTTATTTTGTTTCATATGAACAATTAAGATTATATTTGAAGGTATCTGAAGTATTAGTATCTTCATAGTAATAATTTTTTAGCATTATTTTTACATAGTATGTATATATATGATGAAATATCTAATATTATATATATATATATATATATATATATGTGTGTGTATTTTTAGGATACATATAATAGAGAATTTAAAAAAAAGGGAACCAACATGGAACAACCTTTCTGGATTCCTATATTAGCTGGTGGCATAGCACGAATTTGGGCTGCAACATTGGTGAGTCCATTGGAGTTGATAAGAACAAAAATGCAATCACAGAAACTAAGTTATGCAGGTAGGATAAATTAATATAATATCAAATTAATCTGTAAAGTAATTTAAAATAAGATTTTGACCATTTCAAATATGCTTTATGTGTTTCAGAAATAACACAGACATTAAAAATAGTTGTGAGATATAGCGGTATTTCTGGCTTGTGGATGGGATTGAGTTCAACTCTTCTTCGTGATGTTCCTTTTAGCGCTATATATTGGTTAAATTATGAAACTATAAAGAGATTGTATAGCTCACAGCAAACTTTTACTTTTAATTTAGCAGCAGGAGCTGTAGCTGGATCTGTATGTATTTCAGAAATATAATTATTACAATATTTTACATACTTTCAAAACATACATGCTAAGGCCTATCGCACTATGAAATGCATAACTGTGCATAAGCATAACATAAGGCCGCTGGACCAATGAGCATCCAGCATAAAGATGCCATATTGATTAACATAAGATGCTCATTGGTCCAGCGGCCTTATGTTATGCTTATGCACAATTATGCATTTCATGTGCGATAGGCCTAAGACATAAACATTGTTGCAGATAGCAGCGTTTTTCACTATTCCCTTTGATGTAGTAAAAACACATAGACAAATTGAAATGGGCGAAAGAGAAATTTATTCAGGTAAACACACATACTATACACACTTATATGCGCGCGCGCACGTGTGCGTATGTATAGGGTGTCTCGATAATTTTTTATAAACATGCAAATTGGATAAAAATAATTTCATAAAGTTCTATAATTTTTTTTCTATAATGCACCATTGTTGAGATATTCGTCCTCACAGTTGTAATATTTAAAAAATATTTGTAAAAAATAACTTATGCTGATTATGAGATGTTGATAATTTGTAATAAATTATTTTTATATTAGGTAAACATTTTTCCCACCCACCATTTTATTTGATGTGCTAGGAATGTCCTTAAGACATAAATGTCTTTACAACTTCTCTCGAAGTCTATTATACGGGTCAGAATAGTGTAATATATATAGACTTTTTAAATATTATCAAATAATCACACAGACTACTTCTACCTAATCAATATTTTTTTAAGTAAATAGATTTTTTAATTTTTAAATATTTTCTTAGATTTCTCACATCTTTTGGAAAGAAATATAATCATTTCATTTTTTAAAGATTTCTAAGTAGTACCATAGCCATATTGAATCGTGACGTCAGAAACGAAAAATAATACGTTTATTTTATTACGTGCCATTTAATAAAGTCAATTTGAATTTTAAAAAAATGATGAGAGCACTTTAAAACAATTGTAAAAATGGATAGAGAAACTATCCTTATTCTTCTTGATAGTCAATAAACAATCATAAAAGGATAAAAGGCATGTGCAGTGTTTTTGCTTGATGTGCATACATAATCTACTCGCATTTTTACGTGCTTTTAATCATTTTTTACGATTATTTATGGACTAAGAAGGGATAACGATAATTTTTGTCTATTTTTGTTTTAAATTTAAAGCTATCTCATCATTTTATTTTATCCAAACTGTTTTTATTTAAAAATGGCACTTGATAAACAAAATATGTTCTCATTTTTGATGTCACAATATGGCTGTGGTGATTACTCAGGGGCTTTAAGAAATTGAGGGTTTTTTTTTTTAACAACTTCATTGATATACTTATATTCAGATGGTAAATAATACAAAGTAACGAAAAGAGGTTCTTCGTTATACTTTTGGAAAAGTTTCCATGTCAGCTACAAGCAGAACTTAGGCATGTATTTGAAATACTTTTATATATTTTAAAACACAGCTTTTGCAACAAAAGTGTATTTTGTATTTTAGTGGTGGGCGGGTATACATGAAAGTATTGGGAGTACAAATTAGCTCGGTCCGTTTTCCAAAAGATGATTGCCTCCAAAGACGAGTCATTTTTTCGAGATGGAATTCGAAAATTGCCTGAGAGATGGGACAAAGTAGTAGCTCGCGATGGACAATACTTTAATTAATCTGTTCATTCATTTTGTTTTGAAATGCATTTTTGAAGACAAAAAACGAACTGAACTAATTTGTACATTTAATATTACGTATTTTGTATTGCAAATTAAAAGGTTGAAAGTGTTATGTACTTTGCACAACTTACGATTTAAATAATAAGATTAATTGTCAGTTTTAGTGTACATATATTTAAAGTACAAAATACTTTCAATCTTTCGTTATTAATACTGAAATATAAAATACAAAATACTTTTATATACTCCCATATTAAAATATAAAATACAAAAAATTTTTATATGCTTCGCTGAAATACAAAATACAAGATACAATTATCTTACAAATACTGTTTTTCAAGTAGAGATATCTCAAATTATGACTGGCTATGAGGATCTACTATCAAAAATAGGGCATTTTCTTTAAAAAATTGATAATCTTGTAATCTTCAAATAGCTCTCTCCAAGGTCAAACTAATGACATTATCTTGCGTCTGACTTTATCTAAAACATTTTTTCCTAAAATATTGCAAACAAAGAAAATTTTGAGGAGTAATTGTTCGACGCTGACTTTCAGCGTCTCATAAAATGGCAACCTTTATTTGGCAATCTCAACAAATTAATATCTCGTTAATTAAGACTCTGCGTGCATATGTTGGGGGAAATATTAGGAATAAATATTAAGATTTTAACCTACATATTTCTGATAAGTTAAAATTTTAATTTTATTTCTATTCTCCTAATATTTTTTTCATTGTGCGCACGTCCTAATGTGAAGTTAGTATGTTACAGGACCTTTCTACTCGATTTAATCTGCTCTACCAATGCTCCATGAGCACTGATGCGGTTATTATGGGACACCCTATAATAATATATACATATATATATTTAAAAGAAACAATAAGATGCCAATTTAAGCCGACACAAGTTATCAGTTATGTGTCTTTACATATAAAATTTATTTAAAATAAACAATAATAACGTATATATGTATTTCGACCCTCATTCGGGTCCTCAGTACAAAAGAAAATAAATTAAATATAAATCATAAAGTACAAAATACTGTAGGTGGATCGAAACGTATGCGTTATTATTGTTCATTTTGAATAAATTTTATATATAATATAAAGATAAACACTGATAATTTGTGTCGGCTTAAATTGGCATTTTATTGTTTCTTTTCGATTGCATATGAGTCTATTGATATTATCTTAACTTATATTTAAATTATATGTATTTATTTCATATAGCTATATTATGACAATTCAATATTACTTAAAACAAAAATTTTATATACATATATTATTAATGTAAATGTTTAGATAAACCTATTCGCAGCAGTACTACATGGACTATAATACAAAGGATCTATTATCAGAATGGATTGAAAGGTTTATTCACAGGACTAATACCACGTTTGGTGAAAGTGGCCCCAGCCTGTGCAATTATGATTGCGACTTTCGAACATGGCAAGCGTTTCTTTCAATCATATAATGCTAAAAAAGCTATTGAATTTGAAATTGGACATGATATACATTTATTGCAACATAAACCTAATAGTACAAAATGATGAAAAGTACAAATGAAAGAAAAATTATATGCTAAATACAAAACTATAATGAAGTTAAGGCTTATGCTTGATCATTGAGTATTGAATTGTAATGTCAGAAACAGAAAGATGTAAATAAAATTTTTTCGAAACGTTAAAATGTAATTATTTTTTAATTAAACAATATTTCTGTTTGATAAAATATATGTATAAAATATAATCGAAACTCCCTTTTTAGTTTAGAATAAAATTAAGTAATAAAATTTATTTCAATTTGACAGCTATCATATATGTTTCGTTTTTTGGAATACAATATTTAATTCCAAATATGTTTTTTTATTAATTATGGAAGTAAATCAACATGTTTTGTAAAAATTTTTAATTCAAAAATGAAAATGGGACAATCCTCCAATGGTCTTGATCTTAACAAATGTTACTCAGGGCACAACCTCAAATAACAATCAAGAAGTTTTATCAGCGATCAGACATCTTGGGTAATGCCAAGTCGGTTGTATTGTAACTTTCAAGCCATGAAAACTACTTAATGAAAAATAACTTTATTGTGTTTCGGAAAGCTTCCGAGATTAGTTATTAGATTTCAGAATAAGTGTTCCATTTAAAAAAATTAATGTGATCTTGATTTGACCTAGGCGACATTACCCCAAGACCAAATTGATAAGACCATTAAATAAATCTTTTTAAATCTTACAATTTTTGTCTAAAACATTTTTCTCAACAATGCTTAATTTCCAAAATGTTACAGAATTTCTACTAAAAAATACCTCTGGTAGACCGCACGTGTATATGCGTGTGTGAATGAAATATGATTAAATTGAAGATTTACAATGTTAAATGGTTTTTCTTGAAATATGTAATTAATTTATAAAATAAATAAAGCCCAACTTTTCATAACATTTTCTAAGTTCTTTAATATTTACATGTTTAATATTATATTTAACGTATATATGAAAAAGTATATGCATGTATAATTTATTATTCTATATATAGACGAATTAGATCATCTTCTCTGGCAGGATAATGTGTTACTGGACATTTCTTTTTTATCCTTATTTCCGATAAAATACATTCATAGCAAAATATGTAACTAAAAAATGGCATAAAATTAATTTTGTACTTTATTTAAAAGTAAAATAGGAAAAAACTTTAATTGAATACTAAAACATTATCTATTTACCCAGATATCATGAGCACAGTATGTATATGATGAGGCTTACGACAAAGTGGGCAAATTCCTTTATATTGCTGTGCTACATTTGGTACCTGTTAAAACAAAAAATTATATTTTGTTTATGTTAGTAGTTTAAATTATATCGCTATTGTACTATAATTATTACGCCATTTCTTATATTTATTTTTACTTTTGGTGGTGGTGGAGCTGGAAGACTCATAATATCCATGTCATAATTTTCCTGATTCCACCAAGAAAGAAACTGTAAGAAGAAAGCTCCAAGTTCAAGAGACCCAGTAACGATTCTTTGAAGTATATTCCATCCATCACAGACAGTGAATGAATTATATTTTATCTTCCTTAATAACTCGGTAATAGTGAGAGCAGATTGTGGATCAGCGTATGTCAGTGTAACAGATAGTAGCCTTAGCAAGAGTGATGGATATATTGATTTCTCAGATACATAAAGTATATAATTATATAACGTGAGAGTTTCATATGTTATAAAAAGAATTGAAAGTCCTTTAATGACACATTTACTGAAAAATTTTTGCCTCTTCTGTATTAAGAAATATATAATATATTAAAAAATTATAGTACAAAAAACACACCAACACCCACATTCATTCACCCACATACACACACATGCATCCATATGTTTAAAAGGTTAATAGACAAAAATTCTAAAAAGTCAATGAATTCAGATGTTAGCTTTTATCCGTATCAGGCTTTTATATAATTTCATTCTCTTGATATGATAAAATTTTGGTATATATATATATATATATATATATACGATAATTGAAAATATATAATAATAATCAATTATAATGTATATTATAATACTCCTCTTTCAAAATTACATTTAGACTGACATATTCTATTGCCTTAGATCGCTAGTATATCATCAAAAATTTTCCTTTTAAACACAATTTTATCTTAGAAAATAATAAATTCTGCTGGAGTCAAGTCAGATAAGTATTGAAGGTGATAGATCACTGTGACTTAGTTAAAACAACTTCCATATTCACAAAATAATAATCTCGAAAAATTTTTTTATTTTAGTAATATAAAAAATTATAATTAAAGAAATAAATTCTTGATAATGTAACAACGATCCGAGATAATATGCATTGAAACACATCAGCTAAAGGTAATTCTAGAAGACGAGAGTATTATATAACAGCTTCCAGTCATTGTATCGCGTTGCATATATTGAGAAGAGAGGAGACTATATAGAAATCTGAAATAAATGAAGACCAAGATCTACATTCATTGATTTTTATAGAACTTTTGTCTTTTTTAATATACAGTGTATGTTAAAAATAATGGTTACATTTTTTACTTGCCTCTCTTGATGTACTGTCTATTTTTTGAAGTTTATATTTTAAACTAAGCTGCATAAGTTTATTCTTTAAATATGGAAATGTCACTATTAATATTAATGATAATATTTGTTGTTTATGTGATAATTTTTCTTGTAATCCTGTCTTGGAATTAATTATTGTGACACGTTTCAAACCATAAAATGTTTCAGAAAATGATGCAACTAAAAATGATATAATGTATAATATTTTTTAAAAGAAATTAAATAAGAAAATACTAGTATACATAAAATGTATTAGAAGATACTTACAATATTTCTTTAGGTAATATCGTTGAAGAAATATATTGAAAATCAAATATCCTTCATCTGTCCATTCAAGAATATACCCATATTTGTCAAGATTAAAAGATACAAGAAACTAAAATTATTAAAGATTTATATGATTTTGAAATATTAATATGATATAAACATGATTTATATATATATATATTTATATATATATAGAT